GCTACAGTGTGGATAAAACCTGGAAACAGGACTAACTGAATTCCTGTCTGTACTCTTAAACCCTATTTCCTTCACCTTTCCTGAAAGAGAATGAAGCTTGTATTTCCTCTTGGAGACACCTTTAAAATATGTAGGGGTTCATACTTAATTAGCTGACTCCTTGTTCTCAATCAACAACTGCTTCTGGCAGAGGCCGAGTCTGGTCTCTTGTAACCAGGCATGTGAGCACACTAAGTGACATGGCTTTAGAGACAAGGGATCTTCAGAGACTGCCATCTCCTCGGGGAGCATCAACTCCTTCCTGGTGCCTTTGAGTTCAGTCACCACGGCTAAGCACGCTTTTCCACCGGCTCTCACTTTCTTAGGTTTAGCTTCATCCACTGAAGGACGTGGATAATGAGAAACACTCCAGTATTTCAATTCTCAAATGTTCCTTATCACTTCCCCCCACCAAGAAACACACTTCCTCCTGAAACCAATCAGGTCACACTGGCCAGGCCCCACAGCAAGGGGCTCTCCTAACATCATCTCTGCCCACTGGAGGTAGCTCAGAAGGGACGCCTTTCCTCTAGTGACTCAAAAGCATGACTCTGGGGATGCCTGAACCAGCAGCCATTACTACTTTTGTTCGTATGAAGCTTGCTTATCTAGCATAAGAAAGGCTGCAAGTGACCTGCACCAACAGTCCAGGCTGCCAGAGACCAGCCCCTGCTCCAGCCTGTACTGCAGAGGACACTTAGGACAGTGTTCCAGGCAGGAAAGGCCGCCATGACAAGAGCGATGACTGACTAGGACCAGAGCTGGGCTCCAGAAGCATCTACTGCACTTGCCTAGGTCCCAAGAACCACAAGCTTCTCCGAGCAGAGGTCAGGACACAGCAGAGGCACGGGGCAGTCTCCCTAATGGGCCGTGAGGCTGCTGGCACACTTCCAGCCACCCTCCCACTCTCCTGCCCCGCTGGCTCAGCCTCCCTCGCGCTGTCCTGCTCCCCACCTCCCCACAAGCATTCCCCCTAATAAATTGCTTGTGTGCTGAATTCTGCCTAGGCTCTTGCTTCTCAGGTGGCCAAGCTGAGCACAGGTGGGGGAATAAACTTTCTGACACCAGCAACCTTCAAACAGGTCTCAGAAAAGCGGCATTTTGTAAAAATTTGTGAAACAGACCGCAGGGTTGAAGTTTTTCCTTCTCCATTCTACCCTTCTTTATCCTCAAAGAGGCACTGAAAATGGAAAAGCAGGCTATGAAATGGGGAGATGAAATCAACCACTCTCCTAGCATTCTTTTCTTTACTTGTAAATTCATCCAGTTCTGATGAGAAGGCAGACCATACTAAACAGTTTCTTGGACTTAGCTATTTACGTGTCCATCTGTCTGTCTGCATCATAGGCTCCTGGAGGGGAGCACCTCTCCCATTCATGTTTTAACAAGTTCTAGGTAACTAGCAGCAGGGACTCACTAGATACCTGGTGATGAAGGCAAAACAAGAAATCAGACAATTCAACATTGGGCCATAGAGATCAAGGGTGGGCAGGATTCTCAGACCTCCCTAGAGATATGGACAATTAACATACACACCCCGACTGTCTTCATTGTATGAACTCTGGGGAATAAACTTCAAGTTTCCATTTTATAAACTATAGAGAGTTGAAGAACACAGGGAACATTAAACAAGAAACACTACAGGTAATCTTAAGTTGCCCAAGAGCGCTGCAGCCTACATCAGCCACCTGCCTCTAAGGAGTATCCAAAACACTAAGTCTGGAATTAGGAGAATGAGTTGTAGTAAACTGTCGAGAGACACACACGTGTGGATTACACATACATAGACATACTAATTACAGGTCATATTTAATGACAGATATATAGACTTCCTTATTCTAATACACTTCACTACACTCCAGATTTACTCAAACATCAACAGATATTTCTGACAGCTATAATTATATTTCCTTTTAGTAAGCAGAAAGAAAAATCTTGTTCCTTTCTACCGTGTGATTGAAAGTTTCCTCATAACAAAATATCAATCTACTTAGTCAAAAGTTAGCATTTACTAAATAACCTAATGACTGTAAACAAACAGAAGAAAATGTTTGAGAATTACATTATTTTGCAGAACTTGATTCCTTCGTGACTATTTAATTAAAAAAGCAATTTGTTTCACCAAGTGTTAGCATGTTTATGATGATTACATTTTTGCTGCAACAATGAAAACAAGCGTATTAGTGCAGAGCCCAAACTATGACACTTTAACCAGCACTTCTCATAGCAGATTAATTCATCTAAATTATACCTTGTCAGGGGGGAGTGTTTTTCTACATATTGATGATTTAAAAACCCAATTAATTTTCTCCCTACTGTTTAAAAGCTCACAATAATCCCGGCTTGAGCAGTGTGCTTCTGTGTACATCTAATGGCTGCAGAGAGCGAACATTCTGCAGACCAGCATTGGAAAAGAGAAAAGCAAAAGGCCTTGCCTCCTCTCCTTTTTCCAGAAGGAACTAGAGGTGAAATCACGTTAGAGAACCAATATACAGGGCTGGGATGTGGTTCAGTTGGGAGTGTGCCTGTCTAGCACACACTAGCCTGGAGTTCTAGCCCAGCACGGCATAAACTGGGCATGGCAGCCGGCATACACCGACAATCCGCTTAGGAGGGGAAGACACAAGGATCGGAAACTCAAGATTATATTTGGCTATACAGAGAGTCTTAGGCCAGCCTGGGCTACATGAGACCTTGTGTAAAACCAAACTAAAGCTATACCCTACAACAACCTATGAGAATATGAAGTAATTAATTCCAGGTCTTTTACTACATATGAAAGATTCCGTGGGAAACAGTGTGTAAGGTAGGTCCTATAGAACTCCAAGTCAGCCCTGAACTCTCAAACACTGTTCTTCTGACAGGCTTGGGAAGAACATAAAAGCACAATTCTTCTCATTTCAAGTTGCTAACATGTCATTTATCAAATGAGTAAGCCAAACATACATATGAATCAACGTGTCTACCTGCTTCAAGGCCTATGAAACATTTCACAATGAAGCCACAACAAAATCTAATCCTTAATAATTTAATTAAGTATTTTATACAAAAATCATAGAAGAACAAATAATAATAAACAGTTGAACTGAAGCAAGAGATACACAAAATTGGCAATTAGAGGTTACAGAAAACCAAGAGGCCTATAATTTTAGAAAGTCTGGTGATGTGGCAGCTGGATAGAGTAACACATAATTTCCTAGAGAAGATATGCCCTCTATTTAATACAGAAGACAAAGGAAATGCTAACCACAAGACGTGAGCAGGTGGGAGGGGTCATTCCTTCCTAGCCCACGGGTACTGCTTTCCTCGTGAGCTGTCAGGAATCATGTGACTAACTGCCAGAGTTCTCAAGCAATTGCTTACAAAGTTTCATGGTAGTCCTTTCTGGCATCAAAACGGAGTACACGTGTTAAAAACAAGCAACCTGCCTTGCAGATAGAGCACTTCTATTCCTTCCTCATCTGGCACGTGCTCACAGACCCTCTGGAAGGGCACTAGGCATTGTTCTAGTCCAGAGACAGAGGATGAACAAAACGATTCCAGGGCATGCAGCTGGGGGTGGGGGTGGGGGAGTGCAGGCTGGGGGGTGAGGCTGGATACAGAATCAGGAAGAGGAATGATAGGTAGGGGTGGGGGGGCGGGTGTATTGTGTGTGTGTGTGTGTGTGTGTGGTATGGTATGTGTGTGTGTGTGTATGTAGTGTGAGTGTGTGGTGCATGGGTTGTGTGTGGGGGATGTGGTGTATGTGTATGGTGTGTATGTATGTGTGGTGTGGTGGTGTGGGGTGTGTGTGTGTATGTGTGTGTGTGTGTGTGTGTGTGTGTGTGTGTGTTCTACTCTGTTTCCACTCTGCCATATGAATACCCTTTAGTACCACTAGGTAAGAGTTGAAAGAAAGGGAAGAGGGCTGCAGAGATGGCTCAGTGGTTAAGAGCACTGACTGCTTTTCGAGAGGACCCGGGTTCAATTCCCAGCACCCACATGGCAGCTCACAACTGTCTGTAAATCCTAGATCTGACATCTTCATACAGACATATATTCAGGCAAAACACCAATACAAATAAAAATGAATAAATTAATTAATTTAAGAAAGGGAAGAGGGGAAGTGGGGGCGGGGACTGTGGAGGAGTGGCGGGAGGAGGGACTGTGGTCAGGTGGATGGTGTGAGAGAACGAGAAAAAAGAGTTGAAAGAAAATTAGAATGTGACAAACTCTATAAATCTATCACGCAAATGTGTGTGCATGTGTCCCACAGAGTGCGTGTGAACATCAGAACACACCCTGAGTGTCGGTCCTCACGCGCACCGTGCTAGCTGCCCATGAACTTGTGGCGTCTCTCAACTGCACTGCAGAAGAACTGGGATTACAGATGTGCACAGTTCTGCATGCAACCGTGCACAGGTTCTGGGGGCTGGAACTCGGGTCCTCACGCTTTCAAGGCGGACGCTCTACCCACTGGGCCATTCCCCTCGCTGAGACAAATCTTTAAAAAGACATGCATGACGACATCAACTAGACATCGCTGAACACTTTCACACACGGAAGTCTTTGCAGGTCACCAACGGCCTGCATCACAAAGTCACCTTTTTAAAATGGTTTGAATTGTCAAACTTCCCTCATCTCACAGTCCACACAAAGAGGCTAAATTTAACTTACAGAGATAATTTGCCAACCCTCCCCTAGGATCTGAGCACACTTGCCTTCAAGTGCCACAACCTTACACAGTGTGTTTTCATTTGTTTATGTTTTTGCATGTACATCTGTCAAAGACCCAGTAACTTTCTTTCTATGATTACAACAGTTTCACCTACGGCAGCTTCCACATCAGTCCTGCTTCACAGGAGAAACAGATAACCTGACAGACAACTCTTGCTAAGTCTGTGGAACAGACAAGACTGAGCCGGCCTGCTTTCCACCCATTTCCTGCAGCAACAGAGAACCAAGTGAGAACCAAGCCTTACCTTGCTGGAGGGACATCGATATTAGAGGAAACCACTTTCCGCTTTTGCTCGAGGAGACAAATGGATCGAGTGTTTTCTTTCTCTTGGTCAAGGATCCGGTTGGCTTTTTTGGTGTCCACTGTTTTCATGTCTTCCTCCATGGCCAGTGGGAACATGTGGTGAGACATTTTCTTACTGGAGTCACGTTTCAAGTCCTCTGATTGAAATGTGAAGGTCATTTCTCGCTTGAAACTCCCCACCTGCAAAACACACCACAGAAAGAGACTCTGTGTTACACAGAACGTCAGCTCTGCCTGGCTGTAGCCAGGGGGGACTACACTCTCCTTTCGGTTTGCATTAGTTTACTGTTTAACTGGAAGAACACAACACAGAACTAAACAAGCAGTTCGGGGCCAGCCTGGTCTACATGGAGTATTCCAGGAGAGCCAGGGTTACACAGAAAGATCCTGTCTCAAAACAACAGCAACACAAATATCACACACTCAAGAAATTGCTTTTTTTCCAGACATGAAAGCACAAGATCTCCATGCCTTTGCATTTTAAAGCCATTGGCATGCTTAATAGAAGACAGCTAACAGACAAAGGCAATCCCTCTTTGACTATCAATACTGATCTTAGTTTCAGTGAAGACAGTGTAGGACAAATATAAAATAAAAGCTCAGTGAATTAAATCCCATTGTTTCCAATTTTGGTACCATTGGGAAAAAAGTAAACTAAAGTTAAAGTTTTATAAGGTAATTGCCACTTAACAAATCAATTCAGCAGCAAATTAATTCAAGCTTTGAGTACAGCAAGAAGGGTCAGACTCCCCAGCAATCTGGAGTCTTCATTCAATGGAGCATATTTTAAAATAAGCTCACCAGGAAGACATTTCACAGACACACAAAGCAAGCTGTCCTCTCTGAGTTCACTCAGTCTTTACCCAGCCCTGAAATGTGAGCTGTGCTTGCTTGTTTCTATTAAGTTTAGGTAAAAATTGAAAAGACCTAGTCAAATAGTTCTATTTGCAGAATTGAAAGCCATAAGCAACACACACAGGAAAATGAAAATGTATTTGATAATAGCAAGAGTCTAGCATTAATCACTACAAACTCCCAGACCAAGCGAAACCTCAGGTATATGTGGGCACATGGCAATCACAGGACTTATCCGGACAAGGTAATTTCCAGAACCCATGCCAACAGCCAGAGCTCCAAGGGGCTCTGGCCTCCCCTTAGCCTTCCCGTGGTGGAGAGGACAGTGAAGATCCCCGTCTGGTGGGCTACACGGCAAATCCACGCCCACTCCACAGGAAAAGGCCAGCCACTGCTGGTCCTACTGGCAAATCCTTAGCCCGTCACCACAGATTGCAGAATGACTTAGTGAAGAAGAGCAAGGGGCCGAGGAAACTGGTGTCTGCTTTAAGCCTAACCGTTGTGATGATGCTCACATACGGCAGAGGAGCAAGAGAAAGAACGCATTTCCAAAGGTTACAAAAGCTCGAAAAAGTTACAGTGAGCAGAGCCCAGGGAGCCTGTGGGGGTCTGACCCAGGTCCTCTGCACTTTGCTGTGGCTGAGTAGACTGGTGTTCTTATGGGGTTTCTAACAATGGGAGCGGGGGCTGTCGCTGACTCTTTTGCCTACTTATGGGACATTTTTCCTCCGGCTGGGTCGCCTCATCCAGCCTTGATGTGATGGTATATGCCTGGTCGTATAGTAGCATATTATGTCATGTTTGGATGATGTCCCTGGGAAGCCTGCTCTTTTCTGAGGGGAGACAGAAGAAGGTGGATCTGGGGGAGGGGAGGTCGAGGTGGGTGAGAGACTGGAGGGAGGGGAAACTACGGTTGGGATGTAATATATGAGAGGAGAATAAAAGAGATCACAGTTGAGAAAGTAAACAAATTACAGAGGTTCTAAATGTCACTAACCAATACTCTACAGACATCTTTCTGCCTTGACACGGGGGTGACAGGAAGGTGGTATTGGGCTTCTGCAGTGGCCTGTTCCCAGCCTGTGTTGCAACAGGAGACTTCAGACTCCGGGCAACAAAGAAGAAGTAGAGGCCTTGGTGTGCATGATTATCAACAGTGTTGTCTAAATGCCAAGTACCACATGAATGAAATATTAATGACGTTCAAAGTCAATAGTATTACGTTGAAACACTGATAAGCCAGGCCTCTCCCAGGGCCAACTGGACTGACTAAATGGCCCCCATCGAAACTCTGAAGCAGAAGACTGAAGAAATGTGGCTTTTGGCCTCGCAAGTTTAGAGAACTATCTGAGGCGAATAAATACAAGTAGACTAAATTTCCTACAGTAATGATGTAATAACCCTATGCTAGGCTCTTGGCCAAGAATCCATAGTAAAACAGAGAGTAATAATATTCTACAAAGCAAGCCATCAATCTAAAATGCTCCCTGAACAAAAACTCAACACTTGGTAGTAAGCAGAAATTTCAGAAACAGAGTGAATTCCAGAGGCAAGTGATCCCACAGTCCTTGTTTAAAAATGATTAGAAATGATCAAAAGACCAAAAATAACTATAAAAGTAAGAGCTGCTAAATCACAAATAGGAAGAGACACTGTTATCCTAGCTACTGCAAGTGAACACTCTTGTGATATTTTGTTTGTGCTCTGACAACTAAAGCTTGCCTGAAGATCAGAGGGTGGAGCTGGCCACCAGTTAACCACAGAGGTCTGGAGGTCTGTACAGACAGGAGACAGGAAGTGATAAGGTGAGGCAGAGACTGGAACTCGGCCCACTTTTGGTCTCAGGAGTTGGAGGGGTAAGAGGTGACTGTGGCTGCTGCTGTCTCTCTGATCTTTCAGCTTTTACCCCGGGATATCTGACTCCAGGTTTTTATTACTAAGACTAATTAGCATCACGCTTCTGAACACTAACTGGTGCGTCTGATTAGAGAGAAAGAAGCAAAGATAAATCCATTTGCGGGATGTCCAGAAGAGGTAGACCTGCCGTGACAAGGACGGCTGACAGCTGTCTGGGGCCAGGAGTGGACACAGATTTCAAGTGGGGATGAGGGAACTTCACCAAGTGGTGGGAATGCTCTATAGACAGACCACAGTGATATCTGCTCAGCGATAAGTTTATTAAAATCCACTGTTTATATTTTTACAATAGGATCAGTGTTATGATCAAACTGATTCGAAGGAGCCACAGAGGACCACCAAGTGAGCAGTGACTTTGGTGTGGAGGGGATGTACCCAAGAACACCCAGACCAGAAATTTAGAAATTGTGAGGCAAAGTGTAGCCATAAAGTACAGGAGTCTGTTATTGTGTATATTTTTTAGAGACTTAGCAGTGGCATGATTGTACCCTGCCTTGGTAACCATCTAAAATCCAGTCCCCATTCAAACCAGGCCCCTAAGCCTCCTCGTCTGTGCAAGAAGGCCATTTTTCCGACTCATTCACCTGGAAAGGAACTTTTTGTACCTCATCTGCTCAAACACACATTTTCACAACCCTTGTGTTCCTGGTGATCTGCAAGGTCTAGGCTGTTTCCTTCTTTGAAGTTGATGTCAATTAATTAGGTGACTCAAACATACAGGCCAATATTCTCTCAACGGAAATGACACCATCTGAGAAATCACTATATGCTATTGCTCTAAACAGGCAAATAATTTGACAGATGACAGCTAGAAACAACAGTAACAAAAAACCAAAGAAACAGGTAGACCTCAGCCACCAAGGACAACTCTCCTGGGG